GGGGTGGTGAATGAAAGCAAGAGACAGGAAAAGGAATATTGTGGGACTGTCCTGCTTCAAGGTTGTATATGGTGAGATTTTTGGACTTACGTGCAAACATGAGAAGCATAGAATTCTTTATCCTATTTCTCATATGTTTCTTGGCCATTTGTATGAGGTATGCTCAAAATATATGATAAATGTTTAAATAAAAAACATTATTATAGGAAGACATTGCCATTAATCCTCCTCAAAATACTCCTCCCTTCAAATATATTTATCCCGTCATTTTGGCCACTGTCTGGAGCAGTTCTAAAAGCTCCTTTTCATGTCTTCACATGGTATCAGCTGAAGCAGGGCAAATGCTGCAGTTGAGCAGCACTCCACAGAAAAGCAGGCTGGAAAGAAAATTCTGATGCACCCTCCCCCACCTATACACTAGATGTGGCACTGTACAACCTTTATCTCTTCCCCTACATCAAAATGACCTTCAAAGGTGAATGTTTTATGTCAATCCAAGGCACTAAGGCACTCACAAAAGCAGGACTCTGACAGACACTCAGGAAAGAAGACTGCAAGAGCTGCTTTCTGAAAGTGGACAGAATGATGGGGTGGGTTGTTCAAAGTGAGGGGCAGGATTCAGAAGGGCACTAAAAGCAATGGGGGGCTGGTGAGATAGCTCAACAGACTAAAGCACCTGCTTAGGCAAGCTTAGGCAAGCACAGGAACCACAGTTCAATGTCTGGCACCACATGCAGTGCCAGCCCTGCCCCCAGGGTAGGCTGAGCCAGCGACCAAGTCCTGGTGTGGTGGTGCCCGCCTATAATCCCAGCACTGGGGAGGCTGAAAACAGGAGGCTCACTATGAATGTGAGCTGCATAGTGAGATCCTGTAACAACCAAATATATTAAAGAGGGGGGAAGGGAGGAAGGGGAGAGGGGGAGAGAGAGAGAGAGAGAGAGAGAGAGAGAGAGAGAGAGAGAGAGAACAAAAGGCAATGGGAATGTTACCATAATGCATTTTTTAGAAATTTAAACAGTCATTGTATTTTTTGAACACACCTCATATATCTTCTTTGTTGAATCTATCAAGTTAACTCCTTTCCCTCCTTTTAAAAACTGAAATCTTTCTTTATGATTGAGTTTGAAGCCCTTCGTTACACACCATAGACAATGGCTTGCTTCTTTATATCTAGGTCTAGAAAGTCATTTGTAGGAATCTCAAATTCTGGTTTCATACTACTCTTCTTTCTATAGTGGTGGAGGTAACAAGGAATATTTCCAGGGGTGATAAACTCAAATTAGCGAACACAACACCATGAGTTGTAAGAAGGTTTGAAGGTGGCCTTGCATGCCGATCTATTAATGCTACTTCCACTGTTGCACCCACAGCATTAATACACACCTCTGGACTTCCTCTCTCATCTCAACATTTTATAATGAAAAAGTTCAAAACAAATAAAGATGGAAAGAAATATATGCTAAACAACAAGGGCATATGCCTAGACTCTAAAATTATTAATAATTTGCCACATTTTACTTAAAACATATATTGCTTAACCTATCAACTCATTTGCTTTTTATGTACTTTAGATGAACCTCCTTTGTTTTAGATGAAAAGATTTCAAAAGTGCCACAAACAAAAGGGAGCCTGCCCATTAACTCAGTTGTTTAAGTGGCTGCTTAGACAAAGCAGTCAGGCTCTGGGTGCTGTGTTTCGATACCCATAACCTCATGCCTTACCAGACCTGCCCTGAAGGCATCCTGAGCCCACTCCCTTCCCCCCCCAAAAAAGATCCAAAAGTGCCACAAACTCCCTGGCTATAAATTCTGCTTAGGATTGGCTCTGTTAGTAATTAGGCAGATAATATTTACAGTCCCATACAATCCTAAACATTCATGATTCTATATTTGAGAAAACAGTTTGGAATTAGCCTATCTTTCTAATGATCAGCTTTAAAATTTCAGTTGTCCATATAGTGAGCCCCATAATCTATTATAGTTTGGGAAATATCATTTTTAAAATTTATACTGAGATACTTATAATCTTTTAAAATAAAAAAAAATCACTGGATTAGGTTTCACTGATGAGTAAATTATTCTCCCATTAATATAATTAAGCTTAACATGAAATCTTTGGGACAAAATAATATAGACCAGTCAAAGGGCAGTAAACTCACTTGGGCATAGGGACTGATTGGAATAGAGAAAGTTAAGAAAACATAGGCTTAAAAGTACTTTGAACTCATTTCACCTACTGTAAACTGCCCAGGGCAGTGGAGAAGAACAGGATGGATCACACCCCTTGTCTCTCTGACTCAGAGAAGAGTGACTCTGATCTCCCGGAACACTAGGATTGTGAGCTTTCAGGGGGTATGACTTTGTAATCACATAGCACAGTATCAGGACTCTCACTATAGTCAAAATTCTTGCTTGGTGGACGTTGTAAGAGGAAACCATGTTTTCATAATGGCAACTGCTTTCTAAGAACAGGTTAGAAACAACCACCCTAGCCATAGGATGAATTTTTAAGGCTTTGAGCGGTTTTTCGCAGTGTTGGCCAGAACCCAAGAATCAATGCTAGGGCAACTCTCAGCAATAGCTGCAGAGAGGAGGATTACGTAATACAACATACTGTCTACTACTTTGAGAGGCAGACATTATTATCCTTACTCCAGAGCCAAGGAGAGGACAAATTGGAGGCCTCTGTCTATGGCCAGTAAAAGCAGGCTTGGCAAAGCTCAAGGCCTGGATGCAGACCGCAATGTAACATTCGGATCAAGTATCACGATGTAGCTGAGATTTTTTTTTTTTTTTTTTCGCAGAACTGGGGATTGAACTCAGGCCCTTGTGCTTGCCAGGGAAGCTCTTATTCCACTGAGCCATCTCCCCAGCCCAGTGTAGCTGAGATTTAAAGCCAGTCTCTGTCACTTCCTGATGGGAGCACCAAGGTGAGGCCGCTTGTCTTCCCTAACTCTTCAATGCCTTGCTTGTGCATTAATCTTACGTTTTTCCCAAAACTCATTACACAAATCTTTATTGTTTTTAGTAAACAATGTTCTTCCTTGTGCCAAGCCTTGCTCTCTATGCTAGGATAGAGCAGGCTGACAGAAACGACACCAACAAGAAAAGCACCAAAGCCAGGGACTGGTCCACACCGAAGAGGAGCCTGTGTAGCTGTTGATTTTGATATCACTATTATGATCACTTTTCCTCCTTGGCACTTCTACATTCAGTATCTCCAGGAAGCAACTCGAAAATATATTTCTACTCCTTATCCCTCACCAAGAAAATTTTGCTTTTACTTGCCTACTGTTCAGATGCAACTGAAAGAGGAAACAGGTAGGCTATAAGCTCTGGGTGCAAACCCAGACCATACGCTCTTCAAAAAAAAATCATAAGGAAGATGCATTGTTTATATATCTAATATTTATGCTGCACACATATATAACTATCTCTTTCTTTCAATTCAGCCAGAACCCTTGAATTAAACATCAGGCTCAGCCCATACTTACATTTTCTTAGGGCACCAATCTGCTGCACAGCCTGCAAAGTCTGAGACAGCTGTACAGGAAATACATCCTCTTATGCGTCAAGTATTTTTACTGAGACACTTTGAAAAGCAGCCCCAAGCAACAAGCAATTACAGAGATGTTATATATTTGTATTTCAAATAAAATTACACACAGTGTGATAAACAAGACAAATAAAAGCAAACATAACCCACGACTGTACCCAGGTACAAAAAGCCTTCTAGGGAGTATTTGAAAACAGGTTCTTTTATGTATTTCTTTTGCCCTCATGACACGTACTTACTCACAGCCCACCTGCCTTGTTCTCACTGTGGTCCCAGCCACTCCTGACTTCTGACCGACTGCTTCAGGGGGAACAGAATGGGCCACTTGCTCCTTAGCAGGACATCGCTGCATTCAACTACAGTTTTTAACTTTTACAGCGAGATGTGGGCACAGGTTCACTTCCTGTTGCAGTTTCATACTCGACCCAAGTCCACCAGAAACAACTCAAAAACCAGACACTTACCTCCATGCGTCCTTAAGAATTACATCATGGTACTTCAGCCAAGCCCATAGCTATGCTCTCATTGGTTTAAATAATTTAATAAACACTGAAATAGTATGAGACGAGTATGCTTTAGCTTCTTTCCTCAGGACACTTAAATACTTATAGAAAGATTCAAGAAACACTATACATCCCATCAACTTCCTCTTTGTGTTTAGTTGTTTTCATATGTGTGAGGCATTAGCTCTTCATAGTACATTAAGTAATCAATAGAAACTTCAGACCAACTACTGCCTAGATGTACCTAATTTGACTGGGCAATTTTATAACATAAATATGTTTAAGAATTGATAAGAATACTTTCATAAACCAGGGATATAGCTGAGTGGCACAATGCCTGACTGGCAAGTGTAGGGTCCTGAGTTTGATTCCCAGTACAAAAAAAAAAAAAAATCTTGCATGGCACTGTCATTTATCAACAGTTTTGCTGATTAAAGAGTGTTTAATTACCATAATCTTCTTAACCTCAAAAATGTTAAAAATGCTATTACTATTTCATCCGTAGACATACATCAGCATAAAGACATAAGACTGATGCCTTAATTTAATCATTAGCAGCACATAATAAACACTTAGCTGTTCGAGGCACTGGACATACAAGGCAATGGTCTTTGTATCTGAATGGATTCATATTCCTGGAATCAAATCACAAACACTTATATTTTTAAAATTTTTTATGTATTCAGTACAGGGTCTACAGGGTCTCACTACACAGATCAGTCTCGTAGTGATCCTCCTGTTTTCAGCCTCCCAAGAGCTGGGATTAGAGGCATGCCACCATACCCAGTCTCATTCTCCATCTCAGCGTGCCCTGGGGGCAGGGCCAGCACAGCACCCTGGGGATCAAACCCTAGTTTCTAAGCCTGCCTAAGCAGGTGCTTTAGTCCTCTGAGCTATCTGGCCAGCCCTCACAAACATTTAAAAAATAACACCATGCCACATGAGGGCACAGACTGAAAAGGAGATGGGAATTCTCAAGCCCAAGAAAATACTGGAAGCCCAGCATTTCAAAAGCAACAGGTAGAGCCAGGTATGGTGGTGTATGCCTGTAATACAAGCACTCGGTAGGCTGAGGTAGGAGGACCGTTTGCAAGTTCAAGACCAGCCTGGGATACAAAGCAAGCTCAAAACCAGCCTGAGCTGCACAATGAGACCCTATCTCAAAAAGACAAACAAAACAAAAACAACAACAACAAGAGGTAGAGGGATGTGAAAGAAAATCTTTCAGGAAATCCCAAGAGGAGAAGTTACTGATCCAGGTAGATAGGAAGGGTCATAAGTAAGAATGGTCATCCAGGTTTGACAATGAAAAGGGCCACATTCTGAAGTGCTACCTCTCTAAAGCCTGTGTAGGTACAATTAGCTACAGAAATGGATTCTACCTAACTTCATTCTAGCTGATATGTGGAAAACTACTATGATAGCAAGGAGTATTAGACTTTTCTCAAAATTAAGAAAGCTGGATGCTCACAAGGCTAAGGAACAATGTTGTGATAATTTGCAACTATTTGTACCCACTAAATATCTTCTACTCGTATATCATGATCAGACCTTTGCTTTATAAAATGATAAAATAACTGACTATATCGTTCTGTTTTCATTCCTATGTAGTAATTTTATTTTGTCTAGGAAGCCTTCTTACTGCCTTTCTGTCAGTATTTCCCTTTCATGTTTGCCTTGGGAAATTTGCCTCCTATGTGAACAGACAAAAAGAGGGGGAAAAATTCCTATGAAATTCTCTTTGCACACTAAATTATCTGAAATCTAAAATCGACAGCTGGCAAGGAGCAAAAGTTACACAAATAGCAAAACTGGTCAAAACACTGCAAAAATCAATGGCAACGCATTCAAATATTACTACAAGGATTTTTTTTTAAGTCATTCCCTCAAAGGATAAGGGGACAAAATCTTTTTTTCAGTAACTTGAGAATACTCAAAGTATGACATAGGGTTTTCTCTAAGGTATTGCACATACAGAAAGGTAATACAGCAGTACAGTGACTAACAATGCTGTACACACGGGAATAGCTAGGAAACACGTGTGGTAAATCAAATATTTTTTCCACGTACAAAACCAGTTAGCTAAAACTTTACATCAAGTAATGCTTCTTAGCATGTTTATAGAAAATACCACTAATATCTACTTAACCAAAAGCCCACACCACGAGACACATAGTTATGACTCCTCTTAGAATTTTTACGCCAGCCACTGAAAGAAAAAGGAAGAGAATCCAGTGTGGATGTATCCGGTATATAATGTTAAGAGACAGGCTTCTTAATCTGAAATACCCTGGCAATAACCCTAGGGGTCTTTCTTTGCCCAGAGAGGACGTAGGAGTTATAGGTGCACCTAGATGTGGGTCAGACCGTTGGACACGCAGAGTCAGTCACCTCCCAGTCTTCATGACCCTGAGGGGTTCCAGGCTTGCAACTTCTTACCTGGTGGCACAGCTCTTCCCACTGCCTCTGCAGAAGCTCTATGCGTTCGTTAAGGATGGAGATGTCATCGGCACTGATGTAGGCAGCGAGGGTGCCCCTCAGCACTGTCAGCTCTGTCAAGTCATCTGTCCAGCTCCCAACTGCGTTTTCCAATTCCTACATTCAAATAAAAAATATCCCGAGTCTCCGTGCACACAGATGGTCAACAATGTCACCGGGTGTTTGAAATCCCCTGTTGATACACTTCCCTTTCCATCCCACTCTACTTGAACACCTAATTTGTGACCTGCTTTATTTTGTTTTCTACTTAATCTGATAAGTGCCAAGTTCATCTACTAGAATTAGTCGAGCTGCTCCCACAATCTCCCTGCCATTTGTTTATCATCTCACTGATCTTTCTAATGGTTTTGCCTAAATTAAAGTTTCCTTGTTGCATTGATCTTCTTTGCTTTAAAGTATCCTTTAAGTGTATCTTTTCTTTTCGTTAAGTCACTAATCTCAGGCATGAACATTTTAAAGAAAAATCTCCTAAATTTAACTTTCCATTTCAAATACTGAGTTGCTGCATTTGGTGATATATATGTATAATGTAATAGTGGAAATTTAGTATTTACTACAAAATTTAGAGTAATTTACTGGACACATTTTCTGCACCATCTGGGATTTAAGTGACTGAAAAAAGATTTTGTGTGGGGAATGATGTAAGTAAAAAAACACCTTTAACGATAGTCAAATGAATCAACATTCATTTTTACAATGCTTTGACCAGTTTTGCAATTTTCATAACCCTCATTCTCTGCCAACTGTTGTTTTTAGATTCCAGCTAATTTAATCTATGAATAGAGAATTTCTCAGGGTTTAGTCCATCTTCTTTTGTCTCTTCACCCAGGAGACAAATTTCTAAAGGCAAAAGTAATTAAAGGTACTGTTTGCGGCTAACTTTCCAGGCAATTTAGGCAAACAAGGCTTTTGCCTGAATTTCCTAGGTAATTACTTTGTTTTGCTGATAAGAGTGGTTTGGGAAGAGTGGCAGAGACCTAGCTGGAAATGCCTTCTTTTAATCTACAAATTAAAAAACATGGTAATTGTCAAGTACCCTGGGACATGAAAGATCAGGTCCCATGGGTACAGTGTCTGGCTAAGCCACCAAGCCAACCAAGTGGAATACATACACGACATTTCTGTTTATACTTTTAGAGATGTTATGTTGCTGTGCCAATGTAGAAGTTTTCTTATTATTGTACTAAATTCTGTCAAACATCAATTTTGATGTATGAATTCAAAAAATACTAAAACTCTCTAACCAGAAACCAACTGATTCAGACTGCTTACTGGGTGAATTGGTACAGCTAAAATACAGACAACTGCTAATTCTGAAAAGAGTTAAGCTCTTAAATGTCTAGAAGCTCTAGTTTTCTCTGCAGAAGGAACATAACAGAAAGTTCTTGTGAGCTTGTGTGAATTCCATTCATGGATAACACTGGTATAGTTACTGGCACAGAGAGAGACTAATAAATCCCTCATCCTGTTTTTCAATTTTTTTTCTGTATTTTTCTTCTGAATTTACAACCATAGGCTAAAACAAACTTGTTAACCTTCATAACTCTCATATATTCCTTAACATAATACTTCAAAACAAATTTCATTCACTGTCACAATGTATTGTATATCCTTTTTCATTTTTCCTAACTCTTTTTTTTAAATTTATTTATTTGTGTGTGTGTGTGTGTGTGTGTGTGTGTGTGTGTGTGTGTGTGGCCAGCTCAGCCCACCAGGGGGCGGGGCTGGCTG